ACAGCGCGTGTATGCTACAGAGTGAGACACTTCTATTCAGCTGCCGGGCAGCAAAACCTGGTGTCGTTCGTGTCTGCCCTTGCCGCTCCTACCGCAAGGAGCAAGTTGCATTGTGTGAATCGTGCTTGGGAAGCTGACACCAAAAGAACAAAGGTGTTCAAAACCAATATTTTTACATTCTCGTGGCGAATGAATCGTGAATGCGTGTTTCGAGACGTTTCACGATCTGTGAGAAGAGGATTACAGAGGAATGTAACACCATTGTGTCTGAGCCTTAGGTCACCGCTTGATCGAGGAAATTCAGTTTGATCTCGCGAGAGAAGAAGGCGTTGTTGACCAAACGTTGTAGAACAATTATGTCTGATGACACCTGACAACTGACACTAGGAATTTCGTTTAAAGCATGTGGTTACCTTTAATAACTTAAAAGCATTATCGCCGCAAATCTTCTTTCTAATGGAGATGTAAACGTATGAATGATTAACAGTTAAATACAGGCTCGCTGTAAAGTAATGTTGCAGTCCCTGAAGAAAGGACATTGCAAGAGAGCACTGACTTTGAAACTCGTCCCCAATATGTGGTTATCTCGTGCTTTCTAATGCGATGGAATTTATCCCGGAAGTGTTATTCTCTTTGGCCGCTAGGAAAGGATTAAACTAACACAATCAGCTTATGAGCTTTAACTGTTCCCACGGCTCGCATTTAATCATAATATCAGATCGTAGAAAGTTGTGGCGAGACCTAGTATCAAACCTGTTTCTAAACTAAACACTTTTTTGAAATTCAAGGGGGATATCTGATGCAATGATACAAACTGTAGGGAACAGATGTTCAGATGAAAGTTCAAGAATTGGAGGAGAAAGAACTCAATTAGACCTTGAGGTGTTTTCGTTTTACCCTCGTGAGAAGACTCCGAAAGCTTCCAATAATTCACAGACCTACTTAGAATTATTTACTTCGTCTTTCTTACTCTTCTTTTCTCGTTTGCTTGCTTGATTCCTTGCATTTATGCTTGTCGACCTTCTTGCCTGCTTGCCTGCTTGCCTGTTTGCCGGCTTGCCTGCTTGCCTGCTTGCCTGCTTGCCTGCTTGCCTGTTTGCCGGATTGCCTGCTTGCCTGCTTGCGTGCTTGCCTGTTTGCCGGCTTGCCTGCTTACCTGCTTGCCCGATTGCCTGCTCTCCTGCTTACCTGCATGCCCACTCGCCTGCTTGCCTACTCAGTGCCTGCCTGCATGCCTACTTGCCCGTTTTCCTGGTTGCCTACTTAAATGCTTACTACTTGCCAACTTGCTCGCTCACTAATACGCATGACAAGTGATAAGGGCGAGAAGGGCTCTGTGAGAAAACTATGATTTGACAACGTTGGCTCACCTACTTTGAAAACCAGCCAAAGGGAAGCTAAGAAACGAGTTTTAGATGAGACCCCGGAAAAACGGGAAACAGACGCAATTATTACCCTTGGTGATTTAATGAACACCATTTACATCATTGTGGATATTAGTTAAACTAGAACAGATGACTGTACGTCTGAAAGCTGTGATGACATCTAAATTAGTCGAGTTAGATACAAAATTTCAGAAAATATTGGGGGTTGGGAGCGGTTCGAAACAAACAACATTCGGGGGAAAACGAATTGAGAATTTTTGGTTTGGGGGACCATGCCGAAGAAAACCTGAAGGAAACACTCATGAGTTTTGCAAGAAACACCAAGAAGGTATAAAAACGAGGAAGGATCCAGGTAATCTTTAAACCGGGAAACGAGACTTGTTATCTTTACACAAAACCTAATGCACCTACTTCAAAATACGATGGCATTTACAATCAAAAGGGTAAACATATTAGAGGGTAAGGTGTCAGACATAGCAAACAAGGTTGAAAGAGCTGAGTTGCAAGAGGAGAGATCCAAAGAATCACCCTGGGCTAAGAATGGCAAGTTTAAGTTGATTGAAGAATATTCGAGGATCTTGAAGCTCAAGGGTTGGATGGACTTGAAAAGGATTCATGATCACCTTATTACATGATATTTTCGCGACACGTTTATTTCTCGAATTTCGCGATTCCAAAAAAAAAAAGTACGCGAAATCAAAGTAACGCGAACAATGCGTTGCGAACAAAATAAGACGCGAAAATAGCCTCTTATGGATATTGTGAGAACCGTTCTTTCGTTAGTTTTGATATTTAGTCCCGCTGTTGCGTTTTTGTTAATTTTGACGTTATTGTTCCTTTGGTAAGTCGTTTTATTTAGCTGTGTCTTAAAGTTATTGAAAAAAACAAAATTTTCTCAAATATCGCGGAATTTATGCGTCGTGAAATATGCGCACTTCGTGTAAAAGGTATTTAAATCTCTTTTTTCAAATGGTCAATCCAGTCTTACAAATTTCAGCGATTTGCCACAAAGGAAATGAATTAAAAAACATTAACAAAAAACAACAGACATGTAGCATTTAGCATTTAACATCAGACTTTGGCACCAGATGTCACTCTTAAGTCTTAATTTTGATCTTATTTTATTCTAACAATCCACATTAGTTTTAGAATAAAATGAAACAACCATGACGTTTAGAAATCGAAAGGTGACAAAATTATTTTTCCGGGTTTTGGACCATTTACTCTTGCAGAATTAAGATAGATTCGTGCGACTAGAATTTGAAAAAATAATGCATGTATACCTAAGCTCTAAAGCTTAGTATTCACAAGGTATTTATGGAAAGAAAAATCAGAATTTTTGGAAATATGTGGCAGTTACAGACGCAATGAAAGTGAACCATCCTCTACGCTTTACTGTAGCCACGACTGTTGTTTTCCCATTTCAGACCACGTGACCAATCTAGGACTAAAAAAGAAAATTAAATGGATTGTTTTACTCTCAGATGTTAGAGATCGTACACGTCCTCCTTTTTTAAAAATCTGTCTATTACCAAATATATTTTACAGAGAAGTTATAGCATTACTTGCATTTAAATTATTCACAAAAGCCGCTTCCTTGCAACTTGAACAATTTTCAAGCCAAATAATTATTGTGGCGACTGCCTCCCGATGTTTCCCACTGATACTTATTTTTCAGAATGTCTTAGAAGATCAACATTCGCGCTCAATACATAGTTGAGTTCTCTCCTTTTTGTGAGTTCTGGATTGTAGGCACTAGCACATTATGTTTTCAGTTCTTGCCGTGACACTATAGAAGACCGCTGAAGCGATCAACATCTCACAATCACAATACAAACTGTTCGAATGAGGACTTACACTGCTGTAAAAAGTAAAATTTTTTACAAATCCAAGCTTTCGCCAGTCAACAGCATCATGATGAACAGTTTGTATACTTTAAAAATGCCACTGAAGGACAACATGAACAGATTATCTCACAATCATTTCAAGATTGCGCGCGTTTCGAAACAGAATTCTTCCTTGCAGAAATATCTTAATGGGCGTGATAAATCTTAGGGGCAATTATTTTTCCTTTTTTTTTGAAGAGAGAGAATTTTTACCGTTTAAATCAGCAAGTTATGTAGATCCAAAGATATAATCTTCTT